TTTTTTTTTTTCCTTTCGGTTGTCTATAGGGCCAGTTCACAATAGAGATCCTGGTTTTCAATTTATTTTTCCTTTCATCCTCATTACAGTGCAATTTTTTTTCCTTGTAGGCTTTCTTGGAATATGCAGATGCTGAAAGTGCTTTGACAAATGGTCGCCCCATATTGTCACAACATTATCAATCCAGCGAGTAAGTTTTTTCAGGAAGAGTATGATAGCCAAGTCAGTGAACGCGTTTGTACATTGTTCTTCTAAATAAGAGTTTTGGAGGCAGAGACATCCCCAAAATCGGTATCTCAATGCTTTTTTTTACTTGTGGTCATGCTTCTCTTGATCATCTTTGTGCCCTAATAGTGAAATATTTGTTCAGTTGAAATTACGTTCATTATGAGTATAGTATTTTTATATTTTATCTGTTGAGTTTACAGAGCTGCTCAAGCTATATTTCATTGCATGTACAGTGTGGTCGGAAATTGCATTGAACAACTATTTTTTTTTTTTTTTTTCACTGTTGTAGGTTTCTATAGTGTTGTTCACCTCAGGACAAAGCAGTGAGTCTATCTCAAACATAAAAACAATAAACCTTGAACACGCTTTTCTTCATATTCTTTACCCACCACCACCACACATTAACAATGAAATGGAGAGCACGAACAGATCCACTTTCCAATCTTATTTGTTTCCTAACACTGGCACATTGGTCTCAACTACATTTGGAGTCATGTCGGACTTCTTCCTCCTCGCCGAGGTTTTAGAGGACGGGTAGCGATGGACATTCGAGTGGATCCACTAAATCTCAGCTAATTCGGGGTTCCATTATTGTCTCATCTGGTGTTGAAGAATTTTTAGATGTAACACGTATTTCGTGGTTTTTCCATCTTAGATTTGTTGCCTTCTGTTTTAGTGTGTAGTATTGTTGGCAGTGAAAATTTTTTTGGGATATGAGAGGATTTTATTCTATTTAATAGTTTGTAGATTGTTCATGTTCTCGTAGGTGTGTGTTTTTATTTGGGTCAAAATTTTTTTCACCCCGTTATAAATTTATTCTTTCTTTTTCACACCGTCCCATCAAATAACTTCTTTTACACCCCAAAACTCACGAAATGCTATGTGATATTACACTCGCATGTCCAAAGGAACCAGCGCATATCCAATCGGCCGCATAATTTATGACTATGCATAAACATTTCGCATTTTTTTAATCGCATATCCACATCAAACGCATAATTTATAAATGTGCGAACATCTTTCTCATTTTTAGTAATAGCATATACAAATCGATTTGCAGCATAATTTACGATGATTATGCGCCTTCTTTTCGCAGGGCTATATCAACCTTGCAAATTTATGACTGCGAAAATATTTCGCATCTAATTCTCATAGTTTGTTGAATACGCATTTTCTGGTAATTGCATATCCAAGTCAATCGCATAATTTACTAAATATGCGAAACAATTTCGCATATATCCTCCGGATAATTGACAATTATGTGACAATTTTTTCGCTCGCATATTTAAGAATCGCATAACCAAATCGAATAAAGCATATTTTTTTTGACGATTATGCGCCATTTTTTCGTAGGGCCATATCGACCTGGCAATTTTACGACTATTCGGAATTCGTTCACAGATCTTTCGCATAGGTTGCGCACCTCATTAATTGACTGTTTTTTCACAGGTGAGGATTTGGTCTCTGCATTTATCATGCAGGCAAAAAAACAGTGATCTCTAACAATTTAATGCCTGCACCATTCATCTACTGCATTTTTCTGTTTTTTTTTTTTTTTT